CTCTAAAGTTAGAAAATTTTCCTTTGGAATCCAGTGGCTTCCAAACTTCCTCATGCCTAGGGCATAAATGGCTCCCGCACCTCTCCTCACCCAGAGGAATGGACAGAATATACAGATCCCGGCACCAAGAGATCAAGCCCAACTTCATTTCCTTAGGCAAGGGAGGAAGGGGTATAAATCTAGGAAAGGATGGAATTAGTCTGAAAATGTCTGTGATCCACTGTATTCTTTCCTATACTCTTCCTATTATAAAAGAGCCAACAATACACCTACACAAGGGGAGATGGTGATTTGAGGCAAATGGGCTTTTCCATCTCCTCAGAGCTAGCTTTGTTTTTGTTTTTTGAGGAAAACATGTATTGGTATATTTATATATATATATGATGATAATACTCAACATAGGGAATTTATACCTGTGCATGATATAACCTGCCTCTTTTTTTCCCATCCCCCAAACCCCTTTCCCCTCCTTTTATACAAAAGCTTTGTTTCCATTTTTTCCTTCTATTTTTACTTTTTTGTCCCTTCCCCTTTCTCCTTCCCTCTCCTTTGTTCCCCTCCCCATTTGAATATTTTCTTCCCATTTCCAAATATCTAGCATATATTTCAGTTCTAATTTCAACTTTCATTTTCTCACACCAGAGAAACAATGCAGTGTTTAAACATGTGTGCAATTTATTTCTCTTAAGAGTATCGTCTCAAGGTCCATCCATTTAGCTTTACGTGTCTCAAGCTCATCCTTCTTTACGGCAGGGTAGTATTCCATTGTATAAAAAAGACCACGTCTTCTTTATCCACTCATCGGCTGATGGGCATTTGGGCTGTTTCCAAGATTTAGCTATTATAAACTGTGCTGCTATAAACATGGGTGTGCACATATCGCTGTGGTAAGATGCTTTTAATTCTTTTGGGGAGATACCAAGAAGGGAAAAAACAGCTGGGTCAAATGGAACCTCAGAGCTAGCTTTGAATAAATCTTTTTTCCTTTTACCTAAATACATGGTCTCCTTTGATTTGGTCAGCAGCGAGCAGATGAACCTGAGCATATGAATCTAAGTGGCCAACCACACTTGCCTAGCATGTGTAAGGGCCTGGGTTTGAGATGGGATAATAATGAGGCCTGGGGATTTGGCTCAGTGGTTCCGCTGCCTGCCTTCGCAACCACAAGGACCTGAGTTTGATCCCCGGTATCAAAAAAAAAAAAAAAGAAATCATAATGAAAATTGTACTTTTAAGAAGACTGCAACTTCCAGGACTCCGCTGAAGTTTCCCAAGATGACCCAACACCAAAAGGCTATAAATTGACTCAATTAAGAAAGTAAAGAACAGAAGTCTGAGAAGATAAAGACAACTCATGGCAACATTTCATTTGGTTAGATTTATACTCTTTCCCTACCAGACCTATCACTAAACCTGAGTTTAACCAAAAAACAAAAAAAAAGCTTTCCCATGCCTGTGGATGTTGGGGGTATGTTTGGCCACTTTTTCACAGGCTTTTCACCCCCACCAAAAAAAAGTATAAGTGTTTCCCATTCCAAACTGTAATGAGTCTAATTTCTCTAAGCCCACTCCTCTCTGGAGTGCATCCTATAATTCTACCCCTGTCTAATAAACCCTTCTTTGGCCTCTCTCTGACCTGTCCTAAAAATTCTCCTGTCATGGGAATTAATGAATCTGACATGCAAAGGATGGGTTAAATTCCTCATTTTAACTTTGGGAATTTCTCAGACCCAGCCCAAAGACAGGTTCAGCCCCTGCACACACATCTGCACGCACGCACACACACACACACACACACACCACCACCACCACCACCACCACCAACAACAACAAGAACCCTAAAAATGTTTGATCCCATGTGAGAAATGAATTTACTTGTCCAGACCCAAAAATATTAGACTCAGGAGGCAGTGAAAACGAGGCTTAAATACTCTTGCAAGACTAGCTCCTGTACACACAGACACACCAGTGTGGAGGAGCTGTGTGCTTTTATTCCTAACTTGAAAGGCCCTCCCCCTGAAGGAATCCAATCACTGCCAACCTGATCCGGACCCCTCTAAATGGCCCCTGCCAGCACAGCTGCACTGCAAGGCTCATAACACCATCAACCCTGCTATTGATAGCAGCCACTACTCCCTACACTTTCCCAAGCCTTGTGCTTGGGCAACCATTACCTCTCGTGGTCTCTCAAACCTTGTTCTGGGCAGGTAGGCACAACTTTCTCTCACTGAACTCCTCCTGCCCCATGACCCTACAAAAGACCCCACAGACGGTGCAACAGTTGCTGGCCTGGTCTCTAGTGCCAGAGTGGTCTCTCAGGTTTGTTATACAATGAACCTGTTCTGTTGAGTTCGTACCACTCTTCATTATCCTTTTTCTAAAACTTTTTATCTTTTCGTTTGTTTGTTTGAGGCAGGGTCTTACTATATGTATCCTAAACTGGTCTTGAATTCCCTATGTAGCCCAGGTTGGCCTCAAACATGCAGGGGAAGTTGCCTTAATCTCCCAAGTGCTGGGATTACTGGCATGTGCCATCATGCCTGGATGTTTCTATTTTTTAAGCTATAGAGGAATTCCTCATTTTAGGGAAGACTTTTCATTGTTATGTTCTGAATTCTTCTATTCCATTTAATAACTTAGCTTTAGGGACACCAATAACCTATGCTTTCCAAATCTATTAGTTTCTCTCTGATTGTTTTAAAATCTTTGTGTATTTATTTATCTTTGAGACAGGGTCTCACTATGTAGCTGAGACTGACCTGGAACTCACTATGTAGTCTGGGCTGGTCTTGAACTCATAGGGATCCTCCTGCCTCAGCCTCCCGAGTGCTGGGATTACAGGCGTGTGCCACGACGCCCGGCTATATCTTTGTGTTTTTAAAAGTCTGCCTTTCTTTGCAAACATGCAAACATACTGAGGCAAGAGTCTAAGGTGTGGCAACATGGCTGGCGATTGGGCAAGACCTGTGGGTCATGGAGATTTGTTAACAATGGGGCAGAGCAGCAGCTCCAGAACCCTGCACCTGATACCAGATAATCCTGTCTTCACTTCTGCTGGCAGCTCTTCACACAATCAAGCCAAGCCCTGTACCTGATAACAACCTTCTGGTATGAGCTCAGGCAGGTTTTTGATGGGCTGATTTAGAGCTGAAGTCAGAGGGGGAATATATAAGATGGTGGCTACTAAGCTATGGCTGATGTAAACCTTATTCACCAGCCCACACTCACTGTGCAGAGCACTTCTGTGATTCTTTTGCCTTGAACATTAAACTTTCACTTTCACTGATCTGCCCAATTCTTTGAACAGGACAGTAAGAGCCTGGAAAGGACCGACTGGTCACTATAGTACCCGGTAACACTAATACACATAAAAATGTGAAGGAAAAAAATGTTTATGCTCTATTTCCTATTTCACCTCCTCTCCCCCATATCCATTTTCATTTTTCCAAAGAGAAAAGGGAAAGATATGGACACTGCTAACTTTTCTACTTTCTTGTATCAAATATGCATATGTATGTGTCAATTTTCTGGATTTTGTAGACCTAACTGCATGAGATTTAATGGGACAGAAAAGAATAGGAAGGCTTGACAGGTACAAATCCCAAAACTTCAATTCATTTGTCCACTGTCATTTGTTGACATTTAAGATATTGAGCTGTTACTCATTTTAAACTATCTTAGAGATTGATGGAAACAGTCTGTCAGACAGTTTTGATACATGGTGTATGATATAGGACCTCCAGATAATCCAAATAATGTAAGGGAAATATAACTCCAAACCTGCTAGATGTCTGGACATGGCGAATTTGTGTTCTCTAAAATCGAAGAATGAATTCTAGGAACAACAGAGGTCAAGAGTAGGAAAAATTTATAGAGAAAGACAGCTTCTAAGAGAAACAGAAGGGGGACCAGAAAGTGAGTTGTCCAGGGGACCCTGTTTCCTGGGGTGGGGGGATTATAGAGCAAAGTCACAAGGTGAGGCAGGTCCAAGGTGGGACAAAACTATAGTCACTTAGTAAGATTACAAGCACAGTTGTTTACGTAATATTGAACCAAGTGGAAATCACAAGGTGGGTACAAGGTGGGACAAAAATATGATCAACCAATAAGATAGGTCAGGGACCTTTCCTAGAAGGGATGGGTTAAGGTCTTGGTTCCCTACCTGTTGATAGATACCTATTTAGGATATCAATCACTGTTATTTATTCCTAATGGGTGGGTATAGTACTATCTCTCTTTTTATAACGTTAACTAGTGACTGTGCCTCAATTGTTTTTCTATACTGAGGGCCCAGTTTTGTCTAACTGCCTCATAATAACTTGTAACTTAGCTATTGCATTACGGTGATGAAAGTGGGTTGAGAACATAACTTAGATTAAAGAGCGTTATAGAAAAGGATGAGTAGTTGATGAGCATGTTTTGCAATAATCCAGCTCTGATCTCAAGCCAGGAAATAGTCGTGCATTTATTTCCCCATCACTATTCCACAGGCAGTAGGTATCCTTATGAGTGGGTCTTTCTCCAGAATTTCATCTGCCCTCGTTAAAATCCTATCTTTCCTTCAAGATCCAGAACAAATACCACCCACGACCCTGACTGGGCCTGACTGGATATCATGCCTCCTCTTTTGTTTTTTATTTTTGTTTTGTTTTGTTTTTTTGTTTTTAGAGGAGTGGGGGTGTTTGAGACAGGGTCTCCATATGTAGCCCACGCTAGCCTTAACTCTCAGCTTTCCGCCTGTTGCTTTTTAGTCTGTCTCTCCGACCGGAAAGTAAACCCTAAATGGCCTCCCGAGTACTGGGATTACAGGCATGCGCCCCACACCGGGCACACACGTTCCCTTTCATTTCTAACACAGGGCGGTCTTTTCTTCCTCTCTTTCCTCCACACAGTACTTCTTTTCCAAAGGCAGCACAGTGCATTGAAGAGCTAAGGCTTTGACTCACCAATTTGCTATCTCTGTGACCTTGGCACTGTCTCGGTGCCTCAGTGGTCCTTACCTGTAAAATGGTGAGACGTATGTAGCCTTGTTAGGAGGAGTAAAGCAGGGAAAGGATGTAAGGCATTTAGAAGAGTGGCCGATATGCAGTAAGCCTTATACAAACGCGAGCAATCCTTTCGATTCACCTTGGCAGCGCAGAAGCCCCAGGCAGCAGCACCTGGATGGGAGCGGCCCTTGGGAGGCTGTAGGTGAACGCTCACGTTGCTGCGGCCGAGGGAGAAGCACCTGGCGCTCGGCCCCGCCCCG